ATACACGTGGCCCTGCTGCAGTAATGCTTGCCAGAGTGAGGCAACGAGGATTGATGGGGGGGTTCTGATTCGTTTTTGAACTTTGCCTAAATTGCTGTGACCTCGGTTTATCAAACTTTTATACTTCTGTGTACATTTCCATATGGGACGCTGGGCCCGGTTCCCAGTGCGTGCTGCTCCCCACGAATAGATTGGAGCCTTGTTTTCAAAAAAAAAAAAAAAAAAAAAGTCTCAGGATACACGGACAGGGACCCTCGGTTCGTAGATAAGTCTGTAATTCTCATTTTTTTGCACATTTTGACTGTTTGTGTTTCGGTCCATTGGCGGTGGGATTGGAACCTGAGACCTTTTGACTGCATTGCAGAGATTTAGGCCGACTGCTGGAGTGTACCCCACACCACGACCAGCCGTCCACTGCCTTTCATGGTACTGTTTGGGCTTCTTGACCCAGCGCTTATGCGTAAGTAGCTGGAGGACTCTTAGGATCCATAAATACTGAGCGTACGAGAGTATTTCCCCTTTTACAGGTCGAACGTAACTCACGGAACGCTACACGCTATCATCCGGATGATTGTAAAACGTGAGTACGGGAGTGGGTTAGTGGAAGCTGGGTTATGTGAAGGGGAGATGGGTGTAGGAACCCCTGAGGATGACAGCGTGGCGGCTGTCGAATCGCGGCGTGCGTCGGGGATGCCCTACCTGTAAACCATGTTTGTCATTCATGTTTTATCTCATGTATCAATCATGTTGACGCGTGAACTCATATTTGTTTGCCTTAACCAACTTAAATGGAAAAGGGTAATTAACTTCAAATAAACCACTACAGTAGTACCTTTGCCGAGTGGGAACATAGCGGGCCTCCGGTGGGCCTCCGACCTTTTAGGAGGGCAGGGCGAAACGAAACGAGGGCCGCCGATTAGATTTATCAATGGCAGCCGTCGTCAGGACCGGGCTCCAATGTTTTAGGAGTTCAGGGAAACCGCCAGTTTTCTCCGTTTTCTCAACACTGGCGGAGGTAGTAGTCGTTTAATCCCCGACCAAATCAATTCCCTGGCAAATCTGGACAGGAGGGCCTTTAATGACTTTTTTATTATCATTAGAGTATCATTCTGGAAAACCCCCGACGCAGCCACATCCACGTTCAAGCCTGCATCGAGGGAACATGCGGGAGCTACCTGCTACAGCCCGTGGGCGATAGTGCCCAGGGGTAGGGGTCAACCGGTGAGGCATCACGACCAAGCTTCATCCTCCCCCCGGGCCCCCCCCCAAGTGGCCAGCCGCTCCCCTGCATTCTCCTGCCCCCACAAACATTATCAGCACCTTCCTAATGCCGATCGGGGGGGCCAACAGTCTATAAGACTCTACAGTCGAAGGCTGAAAGATGCATCATCAAGCAATGCATGATGGATCTGCAAAAGTTAACGGCGTACCTTTAAATTGTGAACGGGCACCCATTCTGCCAAGGTAGGTACATGAGACCAACGGAATTGAACCCATGACCTCCCGAATGCCGCATGTGCCTTACCAACTGAGCTAGGTGGCGACTCAGGGTGTGTACTACTACATGAGCACGACCAAGAAAATTTGAAATCTCTGTTTTGGTGGCGAGAACACCGCACTACCGGCTGCACCTGAATAGAATGCCTGGTGATTGCAGACGGTAGTGCAGTGTTCCATTGTATTGTGCTACCGTCACCGCACGCCCAGTCTGTATTTTGCAAGACTTTCGGTCCCTAGGTGCGTGCAGCAATAATGACCGGGCGATCTCTTCCATTGTGCTTTGCCACAACTCTTGCTGTAGATACAGTGATACTTACATTGCAATTTACCCCAACTCTTGGCGTAGATAC